TCTTCCACCAACAGGAAAGCAGCTGTGACCAAAGATTTACCTGCAAACCAACTATCCACAGATAATAGAAAACTTAGAAACAAAGTGTTTTACGGCACTCTCTGAGCAGTTTACAAATGTCAGCATCTTGACCCCAACAATTTTGTGATTTTCTATGTTTCTTGAAAGGAAATCCTGTTCTCATCTTCTTTCTTGTTCCAACAGCAGGAAAGCAGCTGCCAATCGGTTACGGAGAAATCAAACCTGTCAGCATTGAGGGTCATCCCTGGCCTTGATTCAGAGGGGGAACAACTGACCCAGAGAATTCTTAGCTGCAATTTTAATAGTGAGTAAACAAATCTCGGTTAAATCTTGTTTTGGAGAATAAGCATATATTTTTTAAATCTTTATTTGACAAAACAGCAATGCGGTGAAATTGGGTTTTGCTCCCATAGTGCTCGGTGAAGTCATAACTTAGTTCCATTTACGTTGAGTCCGTTTCCTCAGCCAGTTATGAATCCATCTGGGGGTGATGCTGTTTATCCCACATTTTTCTATCTTGCCAAGGAGTGTAGTGTGGTCTGCTTTGTCACACGCCTTACTGAAGTCCAAGTATAGTACCGAGTTTCCCAAAAAATAAGCCCTACCCTGAAAATAAGCCCTAGCTTGATTTTTGGGGTGGGCCTAATATAAGCCCTACCCCGAAAATAAGCCCTAGTTTGGAGGCGATGCACCCGCCTAAAAATCAAGCTAATGCGGGACGGGTGGGGCTTCCCCACACGCCTCGTACCCGCTTACCTTACAGGTAGGACCGCCGCAGCCACCTTCCCACACCCCAACGCCTTGCGCTCCTGCTTGACATCTTCAGCCTCTGCTTGCCGCTGCTCATGGCAGGAGGCTGCTTGGTGCTTCAGGCCGGTGCCGCCACTCGCACCAGGAGGCCGTGCGGCGCTTCAGGCTGGTGCTGCCACTCGTGGCCATGTGCCACATGGTGTCCGGCTGCAAGCGGTGGCAAGCAGATGCTGAAGAAGTCAAGACGCAGCACGAGAGGTGCCGAGCCCTGGGAGGCTTGGCTGCGTCTGTTCTAAGGTAAGACATCCTCTGAAAATAAGACCTGATGCCTCTTTTGGAGGCAAAAAAA